ACTTCCCAACAACCCACATGGTGGTTCACAACCATCTGTAATGAGATCTGGTGCCCTCTTCTGGCCTGTAGGCATACATGCAGGCAGAACAACGTATACATAATAAATAAATCTTAAAAAAAGAAATACCAGAAACCATAGTATACAAACAAAAGAACATTAAGAAAAAAAAAAAACCTCAAAGCAATATGAGTCAAAAAGTCTACAAAAATATTGAATTATTTTTGTGTTGGTCATGTAACTGGGCATGGGGCCTGCCCTTAATTGTGATTAATATACCAGCTGATACTCCTTTGGAGAAAACTCATTTTCTCTTTGCAAACTAATGTCATGCCTCTTCCCATTTTTAAAGTCTTCTATGATATTTTTTTCCCTCCAACTCAGGGAAGAAAAAAACCCACCATCCCTGTTTTCCTTATAGCCCATTAAATTAAATTAAATTAAATTATCAAGTACCTCCTAGTCTTGTCAATAAGCAGAAATTAGGATTCAAAATGTATATGTTTATATATATATATATATATATATATATATATATGTTTACATACATCTTAAAAGTAAGCCAACATTTTGTATATGCTCTTTGTTGTCACAGATGTCTATGTGTAGCCAGTCTCATGGTGTCTTTTAATTTTCTTAGAAATCGCCCCTGGAACATCCTAGGGTTGTATCCTGCTTCTCCAATTATTGGGTGGCTTACATGGAGAAAGAAGCAGCCGACTCGGATATGAGGGGAACAACAGAAACACCGTACTGAAAATGTTGGGTACCCTACCCGGCTGAAATTGTTTTCTTTCTCCTCCCTGTCCTTCCCCTGACCTAGAATTCACTAAGAAGGGCTTTAATTTAGGCCATCCTCCTGCCTCTGCCTCCCAAGTGACATTGCGCAACCCATTTTTTATTGATCTTTGTATTTTAAAGGGGCTTTCACATCAGTTCCATCATTTCAAGATCTGCCCATGTGCCCGCACAGGTCACGATCACTACTTCGATAGGCTCTGAAAAGCTAAGGCTGCTTTTAAAGAGTCACTTTTGGAGAAGGCGAGAGAAAGAATGAAATATTGATTCTAAATCAGGAGTCTACATTGGGTGGAGCAGGGTTTCAACTGCACAAAAGAATAAAAGCTTGCATTATCTAGGGCG